CCCAATACCAGGCCATGTCTTGCAGCAATTAAATGGGTCACATTGCTTAAGTGAAAGACGCAGCCTACCTTGTATGTGTTCCTCTCCCCTTATGCATCATTAGTCTTTTGCCAGTGACTATGTCTGCATGACGTACGGGTCCCTAGTGAACCATTACAACTTTTCCATTGTCCATTAAAACCATGCAAGATATTATCTTTGGGAATATCACGTGCTTCTTCCCAAGCAGAAGATGATCCAAGATTTATACAAAACTCAGGGATTAACGGTGGCTTCTTGGTCATTAATAAGTTTTATTCCACCAAATGCAACAGTTTTAATTAAAGTTCTCTAACCCTGTTTGGTATAATCCCCTGAGACGACCTATAAAACACTGGAGGGTTTAAATCAAGCTGTAAAAATCCTCAAAGCTGCAAGTTTAAGGGCTAGCCACAGGAGAAAACCAATAAAGGATTTATCAAACGTGTCTTGTAAACCAGGGAGGCTTCCAGGCCGATGACATAAAACAAAAGTAAAAAGGTAAAAATTTCAAGGTCACCAATGACGAACTGTGAAGCTTTGAGATCTGATCTCACCTCAGAGAAATAACGTAGCAAGACTGCATGTGTCTGCTTTTAAATTCATTAGTCAGTGTATTTTCCTATTATCTAAAGATGTTCCATTGATTTGTGGTAAAAGACTGTTCTGTAGTTCATAAAGAACTGGGGATATAACTGTGAGTAGGTGAAGTTGCAAAGCTAATACCTGCTTTTACCTTTCCTACATTTTTACAGTCGATTAGCTGCTTGTAACTGAACAAGTGATATGGCTTGAGAAACCTCTTCCCATTCACCGTATGTTCTTACAAGCTAAAAATAAAAATGTAATTCCTGCATACTGCAAATTTAGAAAAGATAACTGATATAACTGATATCAACAGAATTCTGAAGGAACCCGTGAGTGTTACTGTATGCTTACAAATTTGTGTTTTTCTGATATCTTCCCTTTAATTTTTTTAAGCTAATGATAGCAAAGACCTGTTTAAAAAACCTTGTAATAACTCAAACTCCCACCTCCTGCCATGTCCATCATTTTCAGTTGATGTCCAAATAACAAATAAAAACCATCTTCAGTTTGAATTTGGCACCTTCTCCATGATGTATAATGTAGACAATCTGTTCAGTGACCTGGGCTAAACTCTGTTTTGTTTTAGTTAGCTCAGTAGTCTCGGATAACAGAAAGGCAGAGATGAGAGATACAAGTGAAAGCCTCTTATGAGGAGCATATAGGGTCTCATTCACTAAATGCTGGTAAATTTCCATATTACCACCTGGTGAGAAGCCTCACTGTGCACAGAAATTAAAGTCATATTCACCAGACTAATGAGAAGCATAATTCAAGCATGGTAAAAGTGCACTTTGTACACAGCTACCATGTGGGGAATTAGCACAGGGTTTGCAGACAACAAAAGTGCATAAGGGCAGGAGAAGGTAAAGCACCCCTGAGTAATCAGGACTTTAACTGAATTCTGCATTCACCACCAACCCCCAGTACAAACAGTATCACAACCTAAACTTAACCCCATGCTTACTGTTTCTTTAATTCCTGAATGCTTTGTGTTAGCTCCCCTGAACATGCAGTGTAACTAGGGAATCAGATTTTCACTTTTAACTGATCAATAACAAGAACACAATCCTGATACAGAAAAAAACAAAATATTGCTACTTTCATCAGTGGTTTTAACTCAAGATTGTTTTAACGAGGTAGTAATGTTTCTCAGTATCTATTTCATTCAGGGTCTGGGATCACCAACCATAAATGGCAACTCATCAAGGAAAGAGAAAGTTACTGTAACTGTTCGTACGTTCTAAGGTTCCCACTGGCTTGTGCTTTGAAAGGTGGGAGAGCAGAGCAGAAGAATAGGGGACTAAACCCCAACAGAAACTCCAGAATTGTTCAACAAGGGTGGTCCAATTTTCCAGCAACTCCCACAGCCAAATGGGTACCAAGATTAGTTTATACCTTTCCTACTGGATCCTACTGGAGACTCCAAGAGGGAGCCCTGTTTCTTGGGCAGCAATTGTGCCCTTCCTCCTGTGAATTGTGCTGGAGAATAAAGTCCAGTTACGCTTCCTGGCATCAACATGGGATAGATTGGTATGGGGAAGTGTTTCCCTCTGGCTGTCTGACACAGGCTCAGATTTTATTGGGTAGCTATTGCAATTTGGACAACCCTTTTGACTCTGTTTGCATACAGTGTAACTCAACATTTCACGTTTGCCACGATGCAAATCAGAGCCTAACGTCTGTGTAGTAATGTAGTAAGTGAGAAGAAAGAAGTAAATGAGTAAACCCATCATCTATTCACTATCACTGCCAATGATTAGACCATTTGAACAATCCTCTGATTTATGCCAAAGTGTCACAAGTATAGTTCTAATATTAGAAAAAATACTAAAGTACTGATTTTTTTTATTTCAAAACTTTCCAGATAGAAAAGTATATCTTGTTTATATATTTCATAGAGCACTGACACCACCTCAGGAGCAGAGCACATTTTGTAATGAGCACTCTATGGCACTCTAAGGAAAAAACAACACACTACCCTCATCAGAAGTCTGGGGGCAGAATGAGCCTGGCCTTAAAACACAAATCCTCCCATTGTGGAATAAAGCATATTATTAATTATTATTTCTTTATTAAATCTGTGATCATTTGTTTGAACCACATTTACCGTAAATACTGTTTAACTCCCACTTCACATACTGTACTGTATGCTAACTTTCAAAAATCTAAAAACACATCAGAATGTTACTGTACGTTGTCACCTCAGTGTGCTTTTAACCCCACACAACAGGCTGTTGATGGTGAAGTTTATTTTGTTAGTTTCATGATTTTGGAATTCTGTTTATTTCATTGTACAATTTCAAGCTTCAGCTGTCAGTAGGGGTTTGCTTCAGCCTTGAAGACTCAAGCAGATATAACTATTGAGATCTGTGTTACGATAGTTATTACGTGGGATATTGTACATGCCCCATCTCCTTATTCAGGTGGTGAATTCTAAAGCATAGCACAGAAGTGACTGCTATTTTGACTCCAGAAAAAGGAAAAAAAAACAAGCCAAACAAATTCCATATTTCTGGCATGCAACACTATACTCTGTGTTGACATCGCAAATGAGTTTAGCACTTTACCAAGATCTGGAGATGTATTGTAACACTGGCATAGAAAATTAATGTTTCAATGTCTTATTCCAAGCAAGTTCTGTATTCATATTTGAAGGCAGCACTGTGCAGCTGTCATTCACAGGAAAAGATTTTCAGAAAATAATAACAGCAGTGGTATTTAGATTGTGGTGTCTTGCAGCATCCATGCATAGAAAACAAAACGTATTTTTCTTCTTTAAATCATGAGCTGTTTAAAATCATTTTATTAAAATAGTATAGTTTATTAAAAATTAAAATATTTGATAGCCCTTGAACATACATGAATAATGTTCAAAATAATTTTTAAATATAATACAAATAAATAATGATTTGTTTGCTCACCCTTGTGATGGCTTTCAGGCATAGACCTTCTCTTTCATATACTATAGAGCTCTTACAGTGAGGGAGTTTGGCTGTCCCCAAGTTTATTTAATGAAAAATAAAATTCAATCTGAAAAAGCCGGATTATTATTAGTAGTTGTTGTATTATTAATTGCCGTGCTTTATTACAATATTCTTAAAGAACATGTACTTCACAGTACTCCCCATCTGGAGTGGCCCAATGGTATCCATAGGAGCTTTGGATTGCAATGAAACACGATTATTTAACTTGTCAGGAAGCAGCTATTATCTTTTGCACTTAACAATTTCTTTCCATTAGGGCTTGCCAGTTCCAGTGTTAATCAGCACTTACACAGAGTTAATTCCTCAAAAAAATAACATGGGGGCTAAAGAGAGCTCAAATTAAAAATGATCTGTCTCAATGAGGGGCCAAAGTGTTAAGGCTGTGCGGCAGAGAGAAGCTGAAGAAGGATGGGAGCAGGCGCTACCTGCACTCTGCTGGGCGGAGGTGTGAAAAGAAAGCTGCAAGGGGGGAAAGACTGCATGCTTTAAAACACACAGCAGGAGCACCACCACCTGGCCCGAGTCAATGAAACCAAAGTACTGTATGTCATGCTTGAAATCTTTCTTCAGACGTATTTCAGGGACGGACTGTTGTTATTCTTGCAAGGTTTTAAAATTTAACCCACAGCAGAATTATAAAAGTGCTGGTCCCACAACATATCTACGCACATCTGCGCATTACCAGAAAGATTGCACTGGAAATGAACGTAAGTGCTCTTAAGGCTTACGGGCTTATTCGCTGAGAAAGACAGTGAAATTGTTGAAGGCAGTCTCAAGTGACAACACAAGCAACGTGCTTCAGGGTGGCAAAACAAAGAGCAAAATGCCAAATCTTATAAATACCTGTTGAATTAAAATAAATCAAAAAGGCAATAAAAAGATATTTGCATCTTTATGGCACTGATGCTTTCACTCTCACGAACAAAGAACCCAACTTGCTGTGTCTGTCCCCTGCAGCAAGAGCACATTTCATAAACAGAAACATCACTGTACTGCAGCTCAGCAAAGTCGCTTTACCTGAGCGCAGTGGCCAGCATCTAAAATAGATAAAGGCTTAACTGAACATGTCTGTCAGGTTCTTAATCAATACTAGACAAGTAGTTTCCTGCCTGGGCACAGCAGTGTGAATTTATAACATAAAGGGATTGCACACCATAGAGGACACACTGAAATCAGACTTGTACCGCAGAGCAGAGATGGTTCTCCTGCTATCAAAGAGCAATATCATTCCAATTTTGTGAACAACTAAAGTCATTTCAAGGAATTGCCACAACCAAAAGATCCGACCGGTTACAAACAATTTCACATTCTCACTGCCAATCGCATGCAGATGCCACATGGTTTATATTTATTTAGCAAATCACAAACCATGAACATCTACCATAATTAGATGTGGCAGCCACCTCTCACCTCTGCTGGCATTCTCCACATGTTCAAGTTCATCAGTAAACTTCAGGAGCTCAGGGTACTTCTCCTCACACTTTTCTGCAAGGAAGTGGAGCAGTGTTGTCTTCTGGTCAGTGGACTTCGTGTCTCTGAGCTGAAAGACATGGAGATGATCCAGAATGACCCATCAGGCAAGCATGAAAACAAGCAGATAGTGACCACAAGGTAACAGCAAGGGTTCAATTCCAGTGCTTGAACGAGAGGTTTTCTTCAGAGACTGCTTCTCTTCACCCAATGGAAGCACGTACAGTATGCAGTAGCTGTGTATCAACATGCTGCAGAATAAACACGGATGTCAATATGATCTAGAATGCTGCCAAAGCCCATTTTCCTTGCTAAAACACTCTGTTGATCCTGCTGTTCTTCCACCTGTAGAGGCATGACCCCATTTCAGGTTCTTACACTGAATCCTAAAAACAGAAAATCAGAAAGTACTTCTTGCAATAAGCAACACCAGCCTGATATCATTTAGTTGTTGTGTATCCATTTTTTTTCTTAATCCTGAAGCATTTCTATAATCGCAGATCAAAAACCCTTGGAAGCCAGTGTTTATAATGTTACACTTCACCCTATTGATTAAGAACCAACAATGAATGAATTATTTTTTCTTCAGATAAGCGCTTGTCACAACTGCAGTTATGTATCTGGATTTTAGGCTTTTACCAAACCCCCTCAAGCATGTTTTGAATTCTGTTTATAATACAGTATGCCCTGACATGAGCACAGCCCATTGGCACCATGCTAATGAATGAGACTCACCCCAGTGGCTTATCGGTGTAGGTCAGAAGAAGTGACGGGCTAGATAAGCATTTATCTGCATGAGTCAAGGTATTAGCAATTATCTGACACCTATCAGGAATAGTGAAACATATTGTTGAGGAATCTTATTTGCCAACGCCTCCTGTACTTGCTTTGAAAACACACATGATCAGCTTTAAATACTGGCTTACACTGAAAATGATTCAACAAAGCTAAGGCTAATTCCTGTGGTACAGCACCCTGACTTACAACATAAAGAATACAGTATATACAAATAACAAAATCTGGTAAGCAGCCACAGGAAAACACAATTATATTCTCCTCAATTTCAAATCACTTTATAAACCACCAGTCTGACAACCACACTGCCCCTCTGCTTCTCTTTATTATTTTGATTCCACAAAAATAATATAATTACTTTGGCATCCCAAGTTCATGGGCAGAGGTGAAAACGAAGCAGTAGGACCAGGAGCAATGTAGGGCATGTTCCTTGGTCCACAGCTTAATCTTTGCGGGATCTCTCCAGCTGTGTGCTGGGCAAACCCACTGCGCTTAACGATTCTACGGGGCCTTTCAGGAAAGCATCCAAGCCAAGTGATACATGAGAGCCAAGTTCCTCTTTACTCTCTTAAATTTGATACTGATTCTGGTGATTGGTTCACAGATGCATTCATCCAAGTACTGAATATAATTACAGTCTGGCATCCTCATTGTAGCATGCATCTCATTTTCACTCTCTTCTTTTTTTTAGAATGAATACATGTGGGAAATCTGTCTGTGTTGGAGGTACAAACATTATCCCACCTTGGATTGCAAATCAGACATGTAATGATACAGGATCCTGCGCTCTATTAAGTTTGAGGCTGCATTATTAAAATAAAGAATGTCATCTATGTAGATGCTAAGTAAGACTGTAATAAATAACATATTGTATGTATTAGATTCTTTCACTTTTCATCCAACCATTGCCCAGCACATAAAGGATACAACTTCTATGGGATTTATTTACTAGATAATTTTCTTTTGATATTTCACTTAGTCCAGATTTGGTCTTTTCATTTTACAGCTATGATCTTTGTACCTCCACATGGGTGCAGGTGATGATGAGACAGTGCCATAATTTCTTCAGTCCTGCACAATTTTGGTTCTTCAGTTCATCAGCCATCTGACATTTACCACACCAACAGCCATCCTACTAAGAACTGCAATGAGTGATGCTACTGTTGCTGTTGCACAGTCATCCAGCTTTTTCAACTCAAGACCACCAAGTCTCAACACCACTTGTGAAAAACTACACCACCATTCAAGGAAGCCATCACAGTTGGCTCAAGACTTCGACCGGTGTCCAGTTTGTCTGGAAATTAAGGCAAAACCTGCACCACCTACTGTATGATTGAGCCAGTGATAATTCCTTTACTGTACTGTAGGTGTCTTTTCAAATTAACAAAATCCACCCTTACTACTGAAAAAATGATTCAATAATTTACATTTAAAACCTGTTCAGTGGCACCTCTAAAATAATAATTTCTATTGTTAAACTTACAAGTTACAAATTAAACTTCTATTGTGCGACCAATCAAGTGGTTTAGTGAGCAAGTTATAAACTGCCACGCCAGTGAAAATGAAAATAAGATCAGTGAAGAAGGCTGTGCAAACACATTATTTTTACTTCCATTATTTTATTTGTTATAGTTTTTAATATTTGTAAAAAGAGCGTTTCAACAATTTAATCATATTTGGAAATTCAGCCATGAGAAAACACACTAACAAGCCAAAAACAAAAGCAGATTCATGTTTGAACACCCCCCCTCCCAAAACACACATACTGTTATTAACATGACTTATGCGAGCGGCAGAACTGTTACTTCTGGAACGTCACTCTGAAGTCTTTAAGATTACATGGACTTCTACTCCAATAACGGGAGCAAAGTCAGAGCTCACAGAAAAGTTTGAAACCCATCTGTTTACTGTATGTAAAAATCACTCTCAGATGAAACCCTTGCAGGCTAACAAGTGTTACACCCTGGAGAGATCCTTATTTTACAAGCAATGGGAAGGAGGATACGTCATATCCTTGTATAAACCAAGAACCCTACTTTGCACCAGGACATCTCTCCACACGAACAAGGGGCTCTGAATGTAGGCAATGCCTCACCAGTTCCTACAATCCGTGCTGCCACTTGAGAAGGAAATGCTTGTGAAATCAGAGTCAACAGGACAGTGGGAACAGCTAATGCTTAGAAAGACTCCAGGGTTGCATTAAGGAGGGCAGTGGGGCTGAGTAACCTTATCTGCCTCTCTGGCTGAAACAGATTGCCTGCTGTCAAGTCTTAACTTCAGGATGGCTGGTTTGAGAAATAAGACTTGCACATCCCTCAGCTCAACTCCACGGCACGCTGCATATCCCCTGAATGTACATGGCACCAATAAAACTGTAAATACATGCAGGGTTCTTGTTATAAACCTGCTTGCAAGTGTAATGACTGCAAATATCCCCTGTGTAGGACTGCAAAGACCCCACTGCCAAACAGCTTATTTTATGGAAACCGGGATTGTTCAATATGGAGAAACATTTAATTAAGTAAACAGCAAATAGGTCTGGGATTATTTAGCACACATGCATCTGCATTACAAACTGTAGTTATTTTACTATGGACTATGTGCATGGTTTATGTAAAAGTATGGAAAAACTAATCCTTTTGCAAGAATGTTCTGCATTGAATGCACAATTCCAAGAAGCATGGAGAGAGAAGCTGCTCAGTGGTTTGATAACGAATGGATCTCAATCTCAAATACTGAACCAATGAAGTATTTCACTTAATTATACTACAGTGCCAACAGAAAAACACACCTTTACTTAATTATAAATGAAAACATACATATTTTCTAGATTTTCATTTGTAACTAGATTTCAGACAGTCCAAGCATTTGTTTTTCACTTGGAGAATAGGGTGTGTAGACTTTCTATAGACACGGTATGCACACACCTGTACTTTTTCTGTATGACTAAAGCACTGAATAGAACATGATGAGGTCCTTCCTGGATTTCTGTATTAAATTATTGATTTCTGCATGTTTCTGCCTACTAGTAGTTTGACTACTGCTACCTATTTATTTGTCAGTCTGTCATGCCCGGATAATAGTGAAATGGTTTCAAGAAATCTGATCTGCAGGGCAAAATGTATTTTGTGATTTAAAGTAAAGCTCATGGCAGGAATGACATACGGAGGCTGAATGAAACGTGTTAAACTGGCAGCAACATTTGAAATCGCTGTAGCAATCAGGGTGTGATTGCACTGGAAGGCAGTGAGCAGTTGATTAAACTCTTTGCAATTGGCTTCTCTCTATTACCTTGTTAGTTATATGATTGCCCCCAATTCAGCTGCCAAACAACAGCAAAGAGGCAGTTTTGATTGGATGTTTTCACTTTAAAAGGGAAAAAGTGGCATTACATTCTTATTCAAATTGCAATAATCACCTTTGTAATACAGAATTATGCTTCAAGTTCATAACTACAGTACTTGCATATTAATGCGTCTCTACAGGATCATTAATAAGATTATGAAGGTTCAATAACAGGCTGTTTTTTATAAACCAACACCTGTAGTAATTATACTATAGCTTCATACTGAAGTAGAGTTTAAGGAAATAAAGCCCTCAGCCCACTTTCTCCCATTGACAGAGAGACCCCACCTCTCCCAGGCTTAGTGGTGTTATGCCTAGACAGTCTGTTACAGAGATCAATGATTACTTCAAATGATATGTGAGGTGAAAGAATAATTTATCACCATGATATGTAAACAATAGCAATATATTAATCTAAACACATGGCAGCGAATGACTACCAGTTCAAAAGGGCTCCATGATCAATAAAGCTTTTAGCCAGAAAAGGCCTTTGAACCCCTTTTAAAGTAAGGGAGCTTGCTCAAGATGAAATGGCGATTGTTTTCAGGTAGAATGAGCTGCTGTGAAAACCCTAACTAGGAAAGCCAGAATTGATTAATCCATTAAAGACGCAAATTCAGCAAATGCATTATTGTCTGTATTGTGCTGGTTATCTGTTTATCTGTGAGTGTTGTAATACTGCATTAAATGTGATCTTCTGTGTTTCTGGGAATCTAATAAATGGACCTGTGAATCATATGTGAATTATTACAGGAGTGCTTCCTACAGAGCATTTTTATTCTTAAATGGTGCTGTGTTTGAGCATCCATTATATAAATCGCTTTTCTAAGAGATATTGGCTATAAATGACATGAAGCTGAGGGACACATTTCTGCTGCAATCTCTGAAATGGCAAACACTTACAAATGACTTGTTTCAGTATTAACTGCA